ATGGCATGCCCAAAAGTTCACACATCGTTAGGACGCTTGTTGACGCCGACGCCATGTAGACTGGGGGTCAGGAGGCCAGGACTGCAGTAAAAACATGAAGCAAACAGCAGAAACACGTGAAAGTAACCTGAGTTGTAGTGCTGAGTGTAGACATGTCTTTAAGATGCCCCTGTGCCTGTCTGTAGGCTCATCTGAGGCAGCATAGGCCTTCACTGGCTTTAACTATGAGTCTGTGATAACCATGACTGAATTTGCTCAGTGAGAAAATCAGTGGTAGCCTACTTGTTACACTAGGCCTTGTTAGTTTGAAGTGACCACCTGGCTTTCTGGATGTGCCTACCACATAAAATGAAAAAAAGGACGTGGATATTGGATATGTGGAAATACAAATTTAAACATAGTTGGTATAGGGTTTGTCCTGTTTGTTTTCTACTTGACGGTCCTGTGAATATTCAGGTGCTTGGATGCCATTCAGTCCATTCAAACAGGTGATAATTTGCCACTTAAGTTAATTTACATCCACATGTTTATGCAGGTCGTTTTGCTTTTTCCATTGAATGACAACAGCAAAGGTTAATCAGTAGTTGTCAGTGCATAGCGCTCTATGTCCATACAAGTCAGAGGGCAAAGATAATCCAATGATTGTTAGTGAGTGAATGAGACATTGTTCTGAAGGAAAATATTTTTAAGACCATTCATACATTTTAAAGGGGACATTAGATATATTTTAACTATGTTATAATGGTGTTTCTCTCATCAATATCTACCTTAAAGTTGATTCAGAGATTGTATCATGTGTCTCCGAGGAAAAACATAACTAAAGCACAATGGCAAGTCTAGCCTCTCTTTTCTGTAGCTTAGAACAAAACATTAAGCTGTTTTAGACCAAATGTAAAATAATTACATATGTATGGTACTACAGTTTAATACAAAAAACAATATTAAATTTTAACTTTAAATCTTAAAATTGTAACTCCCACCTGTAGTCTGTTGATCCTATGTGAATTTGTAAGAAATACACATTTCACAAAGCTAATCTCATTTTACCTCCTATTTGTTTGTTTATACACCATAATGCACCAAGTGTGAGGTGAGCCGAGTGGTTCTGAAACCCGTCACTCTGCAGGAGATAAGACCATCCCAGAAGAATGTGGTATAAACAACTACACTTCCCGCCACATACCTTGATTTAAATTTGGCTCTCATCGTACATCTCCAAAAACCTGTTTGGCCTGGAGGAAGACTTCCTCCTGCTTGTTTTCCTTTGGCTGTCATCTTCCACATTATTATCTCAGTGTTATCAAGTATGCTTTTAACTTTTTATTTTCCTGGAATCATGCAAGTAACATGCCACCTCCAGAAAGTTACATACTGTACCTTTAAGGGGAGGTAGTACTGGTGAAAGGGAAGCTTCTTCAGTAGTTTATATTATATTTATTATATACATACAGTGCATGTTTCCACTTAAACAAAACAAACAAACAAAAAAAGGCTTTTTATTTACGTGGCCAGCCAGAACCACATAACAAATTACATTTGACAAAACCTTTTTTTGCTGAATGATACAAGAATTTTCAAGAGGAGACTGGGATATACGTTAGAAAAATGGATAGAGCCAGTTTTACATTTTTTGCTTCATTTTATTGACATATTTTTTTAAATATAGAGAAGGGATTTTGGATATCTTTTGGCTATATTTGGTATCTAAGTAAACTAGATTTTGGTGGCAATTGACATATAATTTCTAATTTAGCCTTATTTTTTAGCATAAGTACTGGATTGGAAAGTTTGGTTATTTTAATAGATCCATGGGTAAAATGAATGGGAAATGTACTTCCGGAACCAGGGGGCGTTCACTACATGAAGGAAGAAAGAAACGCTGAAATGGCTCCATCTTCTGTTCACATAGAGAACAACATTCTACGTGTGAACTTTTTTTTTTTTTTTTCATGTAATGTCATATCATTACACTAGAGGGCGGGGAAGCACAAGGAATCTTGAGAGTGGACTGTATGTCTTCATATAACCAGACCATTTTCTCTTTAAAAAAAAAAAAATTCTTCTTAGTCTGTTGAGTTTTGTCACTTTGAACATGTATTTCTGCTTTAAATTAGAAATACATTTTTCAGACTCCCGACTCTCCGTGTACATTGTCTCTCTGTACAACCCCTATTCCAGTGACTCCTAAAAGAGATTTTAGGTCAAATTGTACACACAGTGAGTATATGGGTAAGGTCACTCCAACCATGTGAATAGTACATGTCTCGACCTGACCTTTAGAGTGGTCCAATTTCAGGGTAGATACTATGCACAGCCAGCACCTCTACCTTAGCTAAAAGCAGAGGACATTTATCTCTGTCAGTTATGTTTTTTTCAGGTAAGTCAAAAGAAGTTTTTGACTTTTTTAAAACAACTTTTTTTTTTTTTTTTTAAACTTTATGTCTACTATGTTCAGGGTAAATTCAAACTTTGAAAGGCTGTTGAGAAGTCAGGTATTGAACTTTGATCTTGGGATCTCAGATATTATATATATCTCAAAACTCACATCCTACAGCTGAGCTAACAAGTCTACCAGTAAAACCTGAGACAAGGAGGTAACTGTAAATATGCCTTGGTCTGTGGTGTAAATGGTGACTGGTAACGTGACCACCAGATGAGGATATTTTTGTTACCACAAGTTATGTAATATGCTTATTCGCCTTGCCAACACACACTCAACCTTGAATTTCAGGAGATTAAATCATGTTACATTGACCCTCAAGTTTTCAAATTAGCTGTGCTGTTAGATGGTCTTTTTTTTTAAACACAAATTACCAGACTTCAACTTCCGAAACTCAGAAATGAATTATGCCTGCAGCAGCTATTCACCTGCTTGTCTATGTAGATTTTTTCCTATAATTTAGCCCTTGCTCTGTGCTATATTTTAACATGGTGCACTAGGTCATGTTTTGATGGATCCCAGCAATGGAGAACAAGGGTGTGTATGCAAAGATTGTTTATTACATCTTTATCATAGTGTTGTAACTATATTTATATTTTCTAGCATATGAGCATAATATTAACCTCATTCTTTGGGACTTTCACACAGTTTCTTAACATCTTCCAGATCTCTCCAAAAGAGTGATGCCACAGCGGGTCCCCTGCCCTACCACTCTAGACTCTGTTTGTGTTGGCCATGTAGGGATGGACCTATGAAACACAAGCACCAACCTGGAGGACAATTTGAGTTCACTAATCTGGACCAAGAGAGGGTTTCCTACAACAAATCTAAATTTGTTACACGATTGCATGCATGCAATAATGTATATTGTATTATGAATTATACTGGCTTATTTTAGGTCTCAGTGATAGAGTAAGTATCACACCATTAAGTACTGGTTACTCATATACTCCTCTATCATGCAGGCCAGGTCTTATCACCTGCTTGCAGCCACTTATGCAAGCCAACAGAGGCCCATGCAGAAGCACCAGGAAAACTGTGTGTGTGTACACTGTGTGTAAATGGTGATGGTATATATATATATATATATATATATATATATATATATATATATATATACCATTTATATACCATCACCATTTCACTGTATCATATACTTTTAGTTACATAAGCAACACCCACTAACCCCGTTCACTTGCTGCTTGTTTTAATAATCAACACACAAGTCAAAGAGTTCATAGCCTGCCACACCTTAACCTTTGACCACAAACAAAGCAGACTCAAATTCAGCACAGTGTTTTTTTAGGTTTGGAATTGCTTATATTTTTGTACAGGCCATAGTTAGCGGTGTCAATCAGGAGTCCGAGCAGAGCCAGCAAGGACAGGCATGCAGTTAAACAAGAACTGTATGATGCACTCATGAACATGACCAAGCAGAGGGAGACAGAGGAAGGCCGTGCATGACCTTTTACCTACTTCTCAAACAGCCTGAGAATCTGTGGGAATTCTGTGAAGCAAATGTTCAGTGGTCCACCATCCAGAAAAGGAAAAATACTCACAATACTTACAGTAAAATGCAATAGTTCTCGTATATTTGTAATATTTTAGCCTAACAGCATTAACATGAACACAATCTCAGGTGCACAAACAGTTCTTGTTGTTGTGTTTTGTGTGTGTGTGACCACGGTTTGGATGTCAGTATTACTCAAAAGGAGAATGTGTTCTCAATTGTGTGTGTCACTGAGTAAGTTGCCTAGCACCTGGTAACTGTATAGGGGAGAACCGTATCATCCACCTCTTTAGAAGGCCAGTGCTATCTGTATGGGACTTATGCTTATGCCATCACATGGCAATTATGTGGTAGGCTAAGACTGAAACATCTTATGGATTCAACTCAGTTGTCTTTGACTGTGTTCTTTTAGGTGGGATCCTTTTCAATTCTGCTTTCAGGTAATTTTTTCAGCCTCTCAAACTCTTTGAACTCACTTGCATGAAAGGGCACATTCCTGACATTTTTTGCTGTATTTTCAAAATCCAAAACAAACCGGCTACATTTTCAGTTTCTGTTAGGTGCAGGCCTATACAAATGTGCTCTTTGTGACCTTTTGATACAGCTGTAACTATGTAAGTTTTGATCCACAGTAGGAAATTATATTTAACATCATATCACAAGTTCTCTTTTTGCCTTGTAATGAACTTTGTATTAGGCTATAGACCTACTCTGAACTAAAGTGGCAAAGGCATAGAAAGACATCTATTGAAGAGATTTGAAAACATGACACGAATAATGTTCCTTGCTGCGATCAGAGATCAGATAACCATCCCCTGCCTCGCTGTCGGTGTCGTAGAGGTGAAAGTATTTGCTGATCAGGGATCAGTCCTGAAGTCTTCCTTTCCTCCTGTGTTTTGACAGCGTCCGTCGCCCTGCCCCCACTCTGTTGCCTGGATCCAGAGCTTGGATCTTGTGTAATATTGTGATTGGCTGGTTAATTCATAGTGGGCGGGGAAAGGCGTGGCCTGAAGTATTGTGATCTCACAATCAGCTGTTTTGTGCGCTCTACATTCTGATCCGAGGATCAGCTGGAGGCAGCAATAAACAGAAATCTGCAGCCGGAAATTAGAGAGAAGGGAGAAAAAGCTGCAGATGTTATGATCTGAAAAGAGTGTAAAATATTTACACGAAGCCCTTCTTCTAAGAAGAAAGCCTTTTATTTTTGTAACATAGTGTTTTAACTAGGCTACCTCACGTTAAGGCTATCTAAAGCTATGCTTTAAAAGCTCTATTTATTGGCTATTTTGTGTCACATCGTTTACAACTTGAAAGAATATTGCAAAGGCAGGTAAGAACCTTTTTATTGTACTCACTATATTTCTGTGTGTTAAACTAGGCTATGTTTTTCAGCGATCAAAATACACCTGTCACCACTGGCTCCCTATTTCAGGAGTCTTATCATTAAACAGCGGAAAAAACAACAGACAATTGGATGTTTTTTTCGCTTGATATGGTTAACGGTGATACGGTTAGCAATAAATGATTAGGACTTGCATCAGAAGTGTTGAAACTGCTCAGATTAAATGGGGTACACATTCATGTAAAGCTTTTTGTTTTCGACGCCCCATAATGACAAAAAATAATAATAGATCTGCATTCGTGTTTCTCTGTCCTGCATAAGCCTTTGCTCTTCGATTTACGCCAAATGCTGATGTGGAGTCAGGTCGATGGCGGATGTTGATCTTGTTTTTTTCTCTCTGAAGCAGACGGATGTAGGATACATTTCAGGACATTTTTGTCTACCCGCCTAAAGTGAAAGCTGCTTTGTCTCACTACGTTACAACCATTGGGCTATAGCTCGTCGTTTCAACCTGACAAGTATCAACTTGCGATAAACGCTTTCTGGATTTTGTAAATTTCCGTCTATTTAAGTCTGTGTAGCCTACCGCTGCTTAGCCGACTGTCATTGCTTTGACCCTTCGTCTGCAGAGCTTACACGGATAATTCACGTTAACCTGAATACCCTAAGCAATGTCTTTGGACGACCCTATAGCCTATGTTGTAGGTCTATTCCTCGTTTAAGATCAAATTTCCTAGATTGTTTAGTAAACACTGCGAAGGCAAACGCCTTTCATAACCTTGTTTAATAGAGTAGGCCTATGAGTTTTAAAACCCTCCAAAGAACACAGCACAAAAAACCGACATTATTAAGATCTGTTACAAAAATGTCGCATATACAGCCCTCAAGCTCTTTATGGTGCTTAATAATCCTTCATTTTTGCTTTTCCTATCAAGGCACTTTTCTCCCTGGTCGCAGCTGAACCTCTCTGTAACGTCAGTGACAAGCGCATCACGTCATAAGTGTCTTGTTTTCATTCCATCAGGCCCCGCCCATGACGCTCCGCCTTTCCTGCCCTAGGCCTATTTTAAAAGACCAGTGACCAGACCAGACATGGAGTACAGCGGCTTCACACTGTTATAAAATCATTGATTATGTATAATAAACTTACCGATGAAACATTACTCATATCAAATGTTGATGAATGGAAATGACCGCACCTAATACCATTTCCACGCTGCAGGTCTGAGGCTATAAACCTATTTTCTATAGGAAGGGGTGTTGCTTCTACAAATTAATGTTATTGTTGAAATGAACATGAAAGTGGCATTGTCTAATTTTTCCAACATTTCATTCATTTATATTTTCTTGTTACAGCATTATTTGTAGATGGGTCATTTGTCTAGAATACTGCAAACTACTACAGCAGTGCACTGGCATAATTTTTTAGGCCAGATGCCTTTTTATGTCATTTTGTGTTTCTTTTACACATCTACCATCTCTGACAAATCACTTTTTATCACCCCCTCTACCTCTGCTGCCTGTCCATCTGTCAGGACAGGGTGCTGATAGTTGCTCCTGGGGGAAGGGGCAAGGCATTATCCACTTGCCCCAACAACAGATCATTAAAGCCTTTTCTTTACTTGAACGAGAAAAAAAACAAAAAAAAAAACTTTACAAGATAATCTCTGGACAATGCTCCAGTGTTCACTTCCTGTTTACGCTCTTACACTGTAGTGTATTTTTATAGATTGACATATCTCTTAATTTGTCTCCTTAGGCCTTTGCGTTGACGTGAAACCAAGTGAAACCTTACATTTGCACTACTGAAGCCTCCCTGTTCCAAGGTCCAGCAAAGGACTTCCAGTGAAGAACAAGAGACAAAAAGCAAATAAGATTTTCAAAGGCAGCTACAACTTTTCCCTTTTGACAACCTTCTGATACATCAACTAGTCATGTTTCAGCGCTTGAGCAACCTTCTTTTTGGGGAAGTGGAGGAAGTGGCTGCAGAGATCAATGGACCCAATCCTTGTGTGACAGAGGCAGATGAGGAGGGCTGGATGATCGTCAACCTTCCTGGTGAGTGACAGACTATGGCTGATGTTGTAAAGGCTAAGGAAGTGGAAGGCTTTGTGGGTTCCCTTAGATATAACATTTATGAGTGGATGGATGGGCCAAAACAACATAGATGGTGAGGTCATTTAGTCATGACAAATGCCAATAACACCAAATTCCATTTATTCAAATGGGGCTCTGGCTCAGAGAGTCAATTGAACTAATGATATGATTTTTTTTTTTTTTTTTCATTTTTTGTGTTTCTTTACCCTTTTACCCTCTTTCTCTCCTCTAACATTTGAAAACATCCTTCTATACATTCCCACACTTGTATGTGTGTGTATGTGTGTGTGTGCACCTGTGGTCCCTCTGAAAATTGCTCCACCTACTTTCAAATGGAATTCACAATACATTTCCATTTTTTTCTAATTTTGTATCATCCCTTTAAACACTGTTGTTTTTGGTCCTTCTCATCCCTCTCATCTCTCTTTGCCTGTGTTCACTGTGTTCAGTAGAGGCTGAGTGCATGATGCAGGTGGAAGATGAGAACCCCCCACTGTCTGTGCAATCATTTCCAAGCAGTCAGTTAAATAATACAGACTCAGGCTCCAGAGCTGATTGCTCTATAGTCAACTCAAACCCACGCTGTAAGAGGCGCAAAACACATAAAGGTCGCTCAAGGAGAACAGTAGACCCAACTTCTTACTGTAGTAATAGTCCATCAGACTTGAGTTTCACTACACCTGAAACTCTTGGCACAGGGGCCAGAGGGTCTCTGCCCTCCTCCCCCTCGTCCGTGTCCCCTGGCTCTCAGGACGGGTGTGGAGGCAGTGGGGGTAGTAGGACAGGCTCAGAGAGAGGCTGCATGGATGAGAGCTGGTTTGTCACCCCTCCCCCCTGTTTCACTGCAGAGGGAGCCACCGCTGAGGCCAGTCCCATGGAGGACCTGCTCATTGAACATCCCAGCATGTCTGTCTATGTGTCCCAGAATGGCACAGGCATTTCATCCAGCAGCAACCTATCAGTGGTGGGAGAGGAGAGCATGGCTAGCCTTGCAGGCAGCATGAGGTAAAAAAAAAAAAAAAAAAGTTTTATGCCAATAGTTTTTATGCCAGTGCCTGTCTGAGCATTAGAATGATCCTCATTTTGTTTATGATGTTTTTCAGTAGAGTGACAGAATCGTCAGCAGTCCCGGCCACCTGCACCACTATGCCCACCCGAGTCAGCCGTGGGGCAGCCCAGGCTGGGTCCTTGGCCAAGGTTACCCAAATGTCCCGGGTTCAGCGCGGCAAAGCCCGCATGGAGAGACGCCGCCTGGGACGTAATCACATTCAACGCCAAAATCGTACCAGGGAGCAGGTTCCTCGTCTTGCAGCTCATGTTCGTAATAGCTTTCTTCACCAGCCCTGCAAGCGCAACTTCTGCCATTAAACCCTACAGCCACTAGGTGGTGGTGTTTACTCTGAGGGCATTAGCAAATATGTGCAAGACATCCTTACAGTTGTTAAACTAGTTATTTTCAACCGAGATTCCGTTTAGCTGAGAACTAGATATTCAAATTTGATTTGCAAAACAAACATCATAGAAAGCCCTCTCCCAAACCACCTCCTGCGGCATTCAAACAAATGTCTGCTTCGTTTGAAAATTACACAAAAAAAAGAGTTTATTTTAATCTTTTTCTTTATTAATATTTAAAAAAATTCTTTACTCTGTTCTAGGCATGTATTTGAATCACTGCGATACAAAATTTAGAACAAAAATATTAAAGCAACCTAAATATTCCACTTATGTCAATTGATACCTTTTTCTGGTGGAAATGAGACACTGATTGTGTCACTGATTATGTGTTTTGTGATAAAGAAAATACTACTTTTTGTGACAGTGAGGGAAACTCAAGACATATTTTTAATTTGTCTGCACAACAACACTTTAAGGCAAAAATAGGAACAAAATCATGTTGCGAGATTTCTTGTTCACATTTAGAAGGGTATGAGCAAGTTGTGCATGGCAAAGTAAATGGGCAAAACAGACTAAAGAGTGAGTTAAGAGCTGGATTTACTGAAGTAAAAAGATGTGGTTTTAAATTAGATGGATTGTAGAAAGAGATGTTCAACCCCAAACTTGAAAACCTGTTTACAAAATAGTATTAATAACTATATTATTTGTGTCATAATTTGATTGGTTTGCTGGTTTGAGGTTTTTAGGTTTGACAAGTAATTGTAAGTGCAGAGCAGTATTTAAAGTGACTCTTTATTTAGTTTTGTTGTTTCAGTTTCCCATGTTAATTTGCTGTCTATTACACTTTCCACCCAAAAAGTTGTCATCAGACAAAGCGAAAGTAGACATAAAAATCAAGACCCTGCATGAATTTGTAAGTATCTTAAGCTAAGTGCCCAGCACATGTGACATTGGTCATCTCCATCATGTGCTGTGACTGAATACAAGTGCAGTCTTCTCAAGAATCAGACTGCATCCAAGTCAAATGTGTCATCAAAGCCCCTCAAATCACTCAAAACGTTTTGTGTTTTCTTAAACATCAGCTTGCCATATATTTCACTTAAAGGTCTAATTTATGTATTCAAAACAATAGTAAAAATAATGGTGCTGAAATGTATACTAAAGTTTGTAAATTATGTGAGACATGGATGTATGTTTGCACTGTCATACTTTTGTGAGTTTTAGCAGTGTGCTGTGTGCTTGTATTTGTTTCTTTGTGATTCTATTTTTGTTTGACTCAAACTGTGTGACAAGAATTTCTGACACATTATTACTGGAAAATCTTTAAAAAAATATACACACACACACACACACACATATATATATATATATATATATATATATATATATATATATATATATATATATATATATATATATATATATATATGTATGTTGTGTATTATATGTATGTATACGTATATATATATACATATATATATATATATATATATATACATATACAAGTATTGCTCATTTATTTCTCCTGTAAATATAATTATAAAAATAATAATTAGTACTACTACGACACTCTCTTAAAAAGCCTCTCAGGACTTGAGTCCACAGAGTTATGTCGGATAGGACTGCCTCACCTCTGCGCATTATCAGGTCAAAGTGGTGTCTTTTGGCCCTATTTTTAAACAGCACTAACAGAGTTAATGTGCCATAGGCAACACTGCACCCAGAGGGTCTGATTTAGCACAGCATTTACTCTATCAAGGGGAGGGTACATGGTGTTTTTCAACTATTTTGTGTGTGTGGTGAGTGTCTGTCTCTAATTTGAAAACAAAATGTGCTTCATGTCATTCAGAGTATTTACACAAATTCCAAAAAATACATTTGAATTATTACTTAAGTTATATATTCTTTTGAAGAATATTTTTTTGTATTTCTTGTAGGTGAGGGGGCAAGATATAACCTGCTTTCATAATATTGCTGTATTATGATAACATGAAAGATAACATGCTTGTGAACATCTCTGTCACTTTCGAGCAAACTCCAGTTTGAGTCTAGTTTGATTTTGTCCTTCCTTTTTTGTTATTGCAGAAACATGTTCTTTGTATGGTGTGTGTGTTTATGACTGGTTTAGGGAATCTGATGTAAGAGACAGGGGCAAAATGTGAGGCAGGGGATAGTTAACAAATGTATCATAAAATAACAATAGGAAATGCTTGTGTCCTCCCAGTTGTTAGAGCTGTTCACCAATAGGATGTTTTCAAATTGAATGTGTTGGAAGAGTCATTTATGTTGTGCTCTCATGTAAAGGCAGCTTCATAGACTTGGGATTGGCCCATGTTACATCTAAATTAGTACACATCTCCCCATAAAAGCTATATTAAACAAACAAAATTGGTGTATCTGATATGTATGGTGATTGTGCCTTTCACTATTTCTGCATGGTTTTTGTGATGTACTGACTTTTCCATCCCCTTCAAGTGGGTGTGTGTCCACTGACAGGGAAGACCTATGCAAGAACCAACAGAAGAGGTTTCTGTCATTCATTCAGAGAACACTGGTACCCGCCAAAAAAACAAAAAACAAATAACAATAAATTCTCAGGCTTATTCCTGAATCTTGTGTTGTCATTTATTGTGGGTCATGAGTTCTGGATCAAGAAGGATTTCTGCTATAGGCTATGGAAAAAATCTAATCCAGTTTGTGCAAGAACATATTCCCACCAGGGCTCATGGCACATGGGGTTTGACCCTGTGTCTATGGGCCTTAGGAGGTGCCCTACTCAGTGTTGCAGATGATTTCAGGGATGTACACGTGCTTAGACTGGAGCTCAGGAGCTCTGAGCTCATTAAGATGCTCATTTAATGATTGAAATGTTTGTTAAATATTCAGCTATAAAAAATAAAAATGTTTATAACTTTTACTTAATATCTCACTTATATTTTCACTCATTTAGCTGAAGAGTGAATCATTTTACCTGAACACAGTGATTTTCTAAAGTGTTTGCCAGGTGAGGTTTCAAAAGCTCTGGGACAAAAAAACAAAAAAACAAAACAAAAACATTGCATTCTACTTCTTCAATTTTAGCCCAAAACTAGTATCTATAAAATACTAATCTATAAAATTCACTTCCAAACATTAAGATACATTAAGATAAAATTATTGTCCTAGTTGATTTACCAAAAATGGCCCAATTCACCTGACTTTACCCTACATTTAAGGATTCAGGAATTCTTCCTGTAGTTTTAACCTTTTAAAATTTGTAAATTGCCTCTTAATCGGTGTAAAACTATGATTTATATTAACCCCAGAAGATAATATCAAAGCGATGAGGATTAAGGCCTAGGTTTGTATGGGAGGAGCAGGAGGTCATTTAAGTAGTCTAAATCTGGAAAACCTGTCAAACCTGTCTGAAACCTGTTAATCTGCTTGTTAAAGACATAAAATGACTGGGGAAGTAAAAACTGGACTTGTCACTTGACGGGTCACCTGGTCAGAGGTGGTTTTGGGTTAATGTTGGATAAATAGATAATTTCAGTGTTTGTTAAAATGTGTTGACTTTATAGATATGCCCATAATGACTGCCCGTTCATTATAAATGTGTTTTACATGACCCGTCAGGTACGGTCAGGTGCACTGAATCCTTCCTTTCGATTGGCTTACAGGCACCCACGTGACCAAGTGTGGACAGCTCTTATAAATATTGTCCAATCTCCACCCGATCATGAATCTGTGGTGCTACACTGGAGATGTCGTCGTGACAGATCCAACTCTCGCTTTGACGCTATTATCAGGGCTTTTGGCGATGGTAAGTTAAATGAAGACGATTTCACAGTGATTGCGGTTTGTCCAAGTCTTAAGAGACATGGATAAACTAGCATCTATCGCCATGTTTGACACACAAACATTGGTTCGTATTTGCGTTCTGTGAGGTCTGATCTTTTGTAAATATTTACGGAAGCGACTGTAAAACATGTTCCTGTTATCCTAATAATTTAAACATATCTGACATTTATCTGACAAACTGGTCGGTTTTATATTATGTCACACATTTGTTGTATCTTAAATAATTTAATAAGCTACTGCCTGGTGACTATTGTCATTTTTGTGTGCAGATGGAATCTTAAATGGAAACTGCATCATCACTGGAGCCACACACCCAGATCTTTAGATATTTTGAGTTGAGTTTGTGATGCTTTTGGGTAACATTGGATTTAGGCTGTATGATTATTGATTTTGGCAGATTTAGGCGGTATGATTATTGCTCTCATGATATTGAAATACCCTAATAAATCACTTCTGTGGTTGTGTGTGCAATAATCAGAGGCAACCATGCATAGCCCTACTGCTGATATTGTGTCAGGCTATCCCAGTGGGTTAGTGGCGGACAAAGAGCCCAGTCCAGAGACAACTTTGGGGAGTGCTTACTCACCAGTGGATTATATGAGCATTACAAGTTTCCCCAAACTACCAGAGGATGATGTGCTCCCTGGAGAAAACGCCATGAAATCTCGCAAAGAAGATGACAATGTTCTCAGTGAGCAAGACACTGGTAAGTAACTTGATTTATACCATCTTTTTGTGGCCATAGAAGATAAATAATATTGCTCAGTGTTAACATTGTCACTGGGTGACATAAGCAAGTTTGTTTTTGTGATAGCTCCAATTCAAAACAAACAGTGTAAGTTTTGTCAGGAAGGGACCAACCACCCCCAATCACTCACACACAGAATTTTCATTAAGCAAGATGGGTGATATGTCTGTAAGTTCAGAGTTTGCATGAGAGTCACTAACCCTTTGTGGAATTGGTACTCTAGCCTTCTCCCATCCAGGTACTAACAGGGCACTGGCAAAGTAGTATTGCCACATATGGCTTGATGATAAATACTGGAGTTGCTGTGCTGCTGACATACACATTAACAAATTCTTACACAATAAAATTTGACTAGGCCTATGTGAAATAAAGTAACCACTTTTCACATTTCTTTGTTTAATTTCCAAGTGCATACTGTATTTGTTAGGATTTATTCTATTGTAGTGTGCACTGCACACTACAAATATTGTTAGTGCCACTGTTATTACTAGAATTACTTTTTTATGTCTCAGATCCAGACTTGTTCTTGAAGTCAGCTCGTCTCCAGCGTCTCCCCTCCTCCGCGTCAGATCTAGCCACTCATGAGGATGGGACCTTTAGGGAGACCACCACAGACCCATTTACTCAGGAGTGTGCCTGCCAGCGAGACGGACTCACTGTCATAATCACAGCCTGTCTCACCTTTGCCACTGGAGTCACTATAGCTCTCATTGTCCAGATCTACTGTGGAGACCCCCAGGTAAGTAAACTTGGTATTCAAGTCTATGTTCTCCTCACTGAGTTGTATCAATTAAATAAAAAGTAGTGGCTTCGCAGGATTAGGGTTTCTAGATTTTCAGACAGCATTAGCCACAACAAGCATCCAATGCTTTGAAAAAAAACTAAAAACAAACAAGCAACCCTATAGCCCTATCTAAAAACTAATAAAAATTAGTTTAGTTTGTCAAATTAATGCTAATGAGAAGCATATTGTACATGGCAAATTGAACATTAAAATCAACTCTTAACAGCATGTATTTTCAGTCTTTCAGTCATGAAACAAACCTAAAAAGGGCTAATATCACATATTTTATGACAGGAAAGTGTTGATTATAAACCCCCAAAAAACAAATAAAACATTTATGAAAATTGTGAGTAGACATTATTTTTGCTTGAAAATAAATAAATCAAGATAAATCATTTTGTTTTATTGTATTGTTTTCTTTAACAAACATGCAATTCAGTATATTGCAAAAAAATTATAACATAAGAGATCATGTAACTGCAGATTAATTCTGTTGAAATTAGGTCTTTAATCAAGGAGCAGTGGTGACAGATGTTGCCCAGTGCACCTCTCTTGGATTTGGAGTCCTGGAAAAACAGGGGTCCAGTGTTGATGCTGCTATTGCTGCTGCTTTGTGTTTGGGCATTGTCCATCCACATACTTCTGGTATAGGCGGGTAGGTATTCAGACTTTATAATTTTCCATTGACATTTATAATTCATCTGCTGTCCGTTTTATGCAGTGGGGGTGTTATGCTGGTGCATGAAATCCGCAAAAATGATACCAGAGTGATTGACTTCAGAGAGACAGCTCCTTCAGTTATCACTGAAGATATGCTTCAAACCACTTTGGATGCCAAAGTAAATCCTGTTTCTTAATATTTATACTTTTCATAAGCATAAAATGATTGTTGTGAGTATACATTTTCACCTTCCACTACAGCCTGGCCTTTTGGTGGGAGTTCCTGGTATGCTTAGTGGGCTGAATCAAGCTCATCAGTTATATGGAAGGTAAAATTCTCAACATTTTCAATTCAAATAATTGTTAATTCTCTTTTTGTATGCTCAGTTATGCAAGGATTGATGATTGATTTAGTTGCTATTTAAAGTAGAAGCAATGTTGCACCACTGTAATTATGGTGACTGTGCAGCATCCATTTAGTCTTGCAGAGACATCTAAATTGTTTTGTTTGTCTGCTTTTGTGCTCATTAGATGGTAACTTGATTTTTATGTATCTTATGTTCAATTCCAGACTGCCATGGAAAGATGTAATCACCATGGTAGCTGATGTTGCCAGAAATGGATTTAATGTTACTCATGAGCTTGGTAAGTATTGCCTTTTTTATAATTAGTATATATGGATAAATGTACAATCCAGACACAAGTAGGTCATTGTGCTCATTGTCTAATTGACTGAGTCCAACTAAAGTTATTTATAACATATTTCAAAATTTGACCTGAATGTGTGTGTGTATTTTTTTAAGCTCAAGCTCTGGCTGATGCGAAGAACCAGAACATGTCCAAGGCATTTGAGGATTTGTTTCTCCCAAATGGCCAGGCCCCTCTTTCTGGGGTTTTTAGCAGACGGATGGACTTGGCTATCATCTTGGACGCTGTTGCAGTAAAGGGCATATCTGAGTTCTACAGTGGGAACCTCACACAAGAAATAGTTGCTGCGGTAAATTTAAGTTAATTTAACATTTGTCTAAAACTTGTACTTTTGTTCAACAATCTGTGCTACAGTTTACATTGCTCATGCGTGTAGTATATTATTAACTACCTTCTTCGAATCTGTACAGGTGCAAGAGAAAGGAGGAGTTCTCACTGAAGAAGACTTGAACAAATATAGCACAGTTTTGCGAAAACCAGCTGAGATCAATTATCAAGGTAAATAAAAGTAATAATACAATTACGGGGATGCTGGAAGTATTTTGCATAGAAAAAAAAGTCTTTATCTAGCTTGTGCTAAGACATATTATTTGATTGATTCATGTATTTATTTTGAACAAATGTATCATTATTATTATTATTATTATTATTATTATTTGAAATGTAAAATCAATATTTCCCCATCCTATATCCTAAAGGACACCATGTGATGGCCCCTCCAGCTCCACATGCAGGCATTGCTTTGCTCACTGCTTTAAACATTTTGGAAGGCTATAATATTACAAATCAACTTTCTAGACAGAGCACTTTTCACTGGATTGCTGAGGTATTTTGAGTTTAACAAAATAACAATAAATGTATGCCTCATTATTTTATAATTGTACTTTGTTCTTCAGTCTGTTAAAATAGCTCTGGCAATGGCTAGTGAGATAGGGGATCCCATGTTTGATACTTCTGTCTCTGAAATAGTTGCCAAGATGTTGAGGTAAGTTAATGGAAAATATATAAACAGAGTAAATAACGGATAACATATGTATTATTTCTTCTTCATTCTTCTTGTCTTGGTTTTGTCTTGGTTGGATCCTCCTTTAGTCCTGTTGTAGTCTGGTCCTGATCTAGTTTAATCATGATTTAGTTTAGGTTAGTTCCAGGTTTAATCCCAGTGGTCCTAGTTTTAAAACCTAGACTAAGAAAAACATGGACAAGTGTAAAGGTTCAACCAAGATCAAAGTTTGTCTCATATGGCATGAAATATGACATGGTCAAAAAGACAGGAAGATGAAGATGAAGACACAGTAATAGTAATCATGTATAAATTGATGGAGACGCATATTAGGCTTGTGACAAATTGTGGTTAATAAAACTGTGTAACTTCATTGCTTTTAATACTTTTCTTTGTTGTTGTTCAATCCTCCAAGTAAACCACATGCCTCCCAGTTTCGCCAGATGATTGATGATTCCCAGACATTTTCTGCTGATCACTACACTCAAACATTCACGTTAGAAAAAGGAGCTGGGGCTGCACAAGTTGTGGTGATGGGGCCAGATGATGTAATTGTATCAGTTATGAGGTCAGTTACAATTACTTGATTTTGATCTTTAAGGTTGCTTACCTATTTCACAGAAATAATTCACTGTAATTAATTTAACCTTTTATATCGACAACATTGTACAGAGCTTTACAAAAGCTGTTATAGCTTACAACTCTGTGGTGCTTACTAAATTGTGTATATCTTTTATATAGTATATATTATACTATGTGTACATAGTAACACAAACATAATTTAGCACACATACATAATACCTATAAATGTGGTTTTTTTTTTAGCTCTCTGAACAAACCTTTCGGCAGTGGGATACTGACACCTTCCGGAATACTCTTAAACAGCCAGATTTTGGACTTCTCTTGGCCCAATAAGACGGAAGGCACCACACCAAACCCAGTAATCATGTTTTATATGATAAATATCATCCCTCATAACATACTTGATAATATATTATTATATTTAGATTGTTTTGACGAATTAGATCAAACATGAATTACCAAATTGTACAATGTAAGTAGCCTTATTGGCCTTATTTAGCCATATTGGAGTATACATATATGCATACATATATGCATGCATACTTAAACTGTCACTATGGGCTAATATTGTGTGTTATGTTACTATCCAGCTTGAACTACAGACATGCATGCATGACTACTTTTTTAGTTCTTTCATTCTTTCAGTAGCCTTATAATGTTACTCCAAACTGTTTTTTATTAACCTAACTTATACTCTTTATATTGTTGTGGCAGCATAACAGATTACAGCCTGGTAAGCGGCCACTGTCTTTCCTTATGCCCACTGTGGTGAGACCTGCTGTGGGGCTGTGTGGAACATATGTGGCTACTGGATCTTCTAATGGAGAAAAGGCTCTCAGTGGCATTACTCAGGTGAGTATTTGTCTACAACAAAGCTTACATTTGTTATCAGTGAGGTTTGATTTTGTTGGGCATTTATTTACTCTTTAGTACTGATTAAATTTGTAATTATAATTTCCAATTTTTGGTGACCTTTTTATAAATGTGTTTTGAATTGTACAGGTGCTGTTGAATGTATTGTCTTCACGTAAAAATATGAGTGACAGTTTGGCTTATGGTAGACTCCACCCACAGCTGGAGCCAAACACCCTGTTGGTGGACTGTAAGTTTTTTGGTCTTTTAAAAATCTTTTTATCCAGTTACATAGAACAAAAATGAAATCTTTCTTCTGAAATGAACCCTTGATATTATTAGACATAAAACAAAATATATTTTCACAAGTAATCGCAGTAACATGCTAAAGTAGAAAGCCCAAGACTTAAATATACACGATTACTATATATAAATGTTTGTTTTAAAATGTTCTACCCATCGTCAGCACCAGACACAACATACATTCTCTTCTAATTCTTCTCTCATTTTACAGCTGAGTTTCTTGATGAAGACATAAAGTTTCTTCAAAGTAAAGGTCACAAGGTTGAACGAAAAGAGCTGCTGTCATTAGTGGAAAGCACTAGACGGAACAATGATGTCATTATCGGAGTGAAGGACCCCAGAAGCGCGGATGCCTTGGCTCTCAACATTGCATAGTGTCATTGTGTGCCAATTGTAGTTTCACATTTTGTAGAAAAATGTTTGTATATAGATAGAAAATTGTGTCTATACTACACTACCTATCAACACACTATCTACACTATCTATCTACTATCTACACTATCAACTGAAACCATTTGAGTTTTAAGTAATGTGTAATGCTTCTCACAAAGTTTATACAACATTGAAGGTCAATGAAAAAGAATATGTCTAACAAAAGAAAATTATTTATTTAATTAGGCCTATTTTTTGCCACCTTGCAAAATACATTTTCTACATTGAATAGATTTACTGTGCAGACATTGAATGTTTTTATTTAATATTATATGTGTTTTATGTTCCTGTTTGCATGGTATATTTATGCTACAAATATTGTAGGCCTGCTGGTTACTGAGGAAAATAATTTTTGACTAGTGTATTTAGTATACTTAATTTAATTAATTTTGTGGTTGTTTATGGTCAAAGCAAAATTGTTACTGATGTTATTCAACTACTTGCACAAAACCTGATGTTTGATGACTGAGTTCATTGAAGTACATCTGAACATTAAAATGTGTATCTTATGTTGAAATCCTTGACCGGAAATGCTTTTTTGGAAGAGTTACTAGCTGCTAGCGATTCTCGGATTGTTGGCTAATCTAGCTAGCAGATGCTGACCGTTTTTATTTATTATTGATGTATTTACGTGGTAAGGCTTTGCTTTGGTTGCTATTATGTGTCATTTATTATATACTGTACTTCAGGACTTGCACAGATGTTATGCACTTAGATGTACGATGCATTTAATGCATTTACCTGCAGCTATTGTAGCTTAGCATTAGCTCTCAATCTTGAGTTGGACTCGGAATTGATGATGTTGATATTTGTACTAAGTCATTTATTGCTACTTCAGTTGCATTTCAGCAAAACAGATATACAATTAAAGAATGCTGTTGAAATCCAATTCCGTAAACATGTGTAGTCTTTGTGCCGCTGTGGTCGTATAATCACAGCGTAGCCCACAATTGTGATAAGGCCCCGGAGACTGGGCCGATGTCCGATGTTAGAGGTTTAAGCCATAGTCTACTTTGTATAAACCATTTCCACTATTATATCGTTTTACGCGTAGTAATTATTTATTACGTAGTGGGCTGAAGTATGTAACGTAAGACATCAGTATTACGAGAGCAGACTAGATGCTGCTGTTTATCTCTCAAAGCTTTCGGCGGTTTCTCTCTGTCAGTTTCTGTACTTCACATTTAGAGCCTTTCTGTATGTTGTGTGTTTCTTCAATGCTCTTGAAATGACTGTGTATCATTTGTTGTGACTGTAGTATGAGACGTTTTGTCAAGCGCCACTCCTGGTGAAGGGAGGAGGATGGCACCACGACAGCGGGTCCCACGACGGATCCAGAAAACCGATGAACCAGGGATAGACGATGACTCTGACAGGGACTCTGGCGTCGGGGGAGATGCTGGAGAGGACGATGACACTTGCAGTGGAAGCTCAACTCCAGAAAATGAGGACACACAAGATGACAACACATTGGAGGGCGAATTCACGGTTTTTGTGTCATTTAAAGGGAATATGGATGATGAAGACTTCACTCAAAAACTGGACAGTATTCTCAGTGGAATCCCTGACATGCTGGATATGGGTCAGTATGCCATAACTAATGCACAACTTTTTATTTACTTGTTGTGTATACACTCATATACTTCCAGAGAAATAGTAGAAATGATGAGTTAAAATCATGATTTTTATTCATATCAAAGGTACAGAGAGGCTACTGCCTCATCATGTTGAACCATGGAATAGTGTTCGAGTCACCTTCAACATTCCTCGTGAAGCAGCTGAGCGTCTTAGACTCTTGGCTCAAAACAATCAGCAGCAGCTCAGAGACCTTGGGATTTTGTCAGTACAGATTGAAGGTACAAACCCATCATAATTATTACTGAATATTTTATTAAATTAAGAATATGATTGTTATGCCAGTGCCTTATTCCACTCTCTGGTGGTAAGATACTGTTGTAGCCACAGTTGTTTGACTGAGATGATGATGATGATTATGAATATGATTAACAAATAATATTCATGTTTAGGGGAAGGAGCCATTAATGTTGTACCAGGACCAAACAGAGGACAAGTAAATGGACCAATTGGAGGACCCAGCCAGATGAGGATGGATGTTGGCTTTCCAGGTCAGCCTGGTCCAGGTATCACTTGAATTATTTTATGCAAGACATTAGATTTTTATAATGTTAATTTATTTTATTATTAATTTTGATGGTAGTAAATACACTATAACAACCTGTACCTTGTATATGTTTCTAGCTGGCATAAGAATGGGTAATCCATCAATGGTTCCCCCTGGTCCCGGTATGCCAGGACAGGCCATGGTTCCTGGCAGCAGTGGACAGATGCATCCTCGTGTTCCCAGGCCACCTTCCCAAACAGGTGCAAGATTTTCTGTCTCCAACATGTTTAGTGGATTTGTATGAATGGAGAATAAATACATGTGTTTTATAGATATGATAGAGTCCATGATGCCAGGCATGCCAATTCAGCCTCAGCAACAACTTCAGCACCAACAATCTGGACCCCACGGCTCAGGCCCCATGCCTACTCAAGCAGCTCATCACATGCAGGCTCTGCAGTCCGGCAGAGCCCTGAACCCTGCTCTGCAGCAACTCCAGCAACAGCATCACCAACAACAACAAGCCCAGCAGCTTTCACAACTCGGTCCTAGGCCACCATTCACTTCATCAGGGCAGATGGCAATGCCTCCTGGCTGGAATCAAATGCCTCAAGGTGCACAAGGAGGTCCCGCCTGGAGAAAACCTCCACCACAAGGTCAAATGATGCAGCGGCCACCTTCACTTGCTTCAGTTCAGACCCCGAGTCACCCTCCACCCCCATATCCCTTTGGTAGCCAACAGGCTGGCCAAGTCTTTAATGCCATGGGTCAAGCCCAGCTGCAGCAGCAGCAGCAGCAGCAGCAACAACCAGGGATGAGTCAGTTTGCCACGCCACAGCCTAAAGGCCCTCAAGGTGGACCCGGAGGGGTTATAGGACCACCTAGACCACCTCCACCAATGCCTGCAGCATCTGGCTCGCAGGGCAACCTCACTGCAAAATCTCCTGGGTCTTCCTCATCACCTTTCCAGCAGGGGTCACCTGGTACTCCACCAATGATGGCTCAGAGGCCCACAACTCCTCAAGGCTTTCCTCAAGGTGTCGGCTCACCAGGTCGAGCAGCTCTTGGTCAACAGCCTGGCATGCAGCAAGGATTCATGGGAATGCAACAACATGGACAGCCTGGAGCCCAGGGTCATCCAGGTGGGCAAAATTTTGTTCAATAGACTTATTGTCTGTAATTGTATTTAATAATTATTTGTAATAACTAATAACCAAAATATTTTATTTCAGCAATGGGTAAACGTCCAATGGTTTTCCCCAACCCAAATTTTGTCCAGGGTCAGGTGAGTGTTAACGCACCAGGAGCCCCAATGGGAGGAGCGAATCAACAGTTGCAAAGTAACCAGACACTTACTCATACAGGTAAATTGTTTAAATTCAAATGTTTATTATATGACTCATTCCCTCCACTGCAGTCCTCTTTTACTTGACTTTATTCTCTGCTGTTGTGTTAATTTGTTTTGATGACACAGACTTTCATGTAATTTCCTCTTTCCTTTTTTTGGATAATAGGAAATCAGCCATCTGTTTCCACACCAAATTCAGTTCAGGGCCATCCTCACTCGCAGCCCAATGTGATGGGTGTACAAAGCAGCATAGCAGGTCCTCCACCAGGTACCACTGCTGGTCCTCAGATGATGGGCCTCCAGCATCAGGCCCAGCCTGTGTCTTCTTCCCCCAGCCAGATGGCTCAAGCACAGGGTGGTGGTCAGACTGTCCTCTCCAGGCCGCTTAATCAAGGACAGAGAGGTGGAATGACCCCACCCAAGCAAATGTTGCCTCAGCAAGGCCAGGGGGTGATGCATGGGCAGGGTCAGATGGTTGGAGGCCAAGGGCACCAGGCCATGCTCCTTCAGCAGCAGCAGCAGCAGCAGCAGCAGCAAAATCCCATGATGGAGCAAATGGTTGCCAATCAAATGCAAGGGAATAAACAGGCATTTGGAGGGAAGATACCCCCAGGGGTAATGTCCGGCCAGATGATGCGTGGACCTTCTCCAAATATTCAAGGAAACATGCCTCAGTTCCAGAATCAGGTTCAGCAGATGACCCCGCAACAGCAACAGCAAATGGCTCAACTTCAACAACAGCAGTTACAGCAGCAGCATCAGCTACAGCAACACCAACTTCAGCAACAGCAACATGCGCAGATGAACCAGCAGGGACAACAGGTGCCCATGTCTGGAAACACTGGTCAGGTGATGGGCATGCATGGGCAGCAGATGAGGCTCCCTGCAGGTCATCCCCTCATTCAGCAGCAGCTCCAGCAGCAGCAGCTACAGCAGAAGCAGCAGCAGCAGGCCATGTTACAGCAACAAGCTGCTCAGCAACATCCTCATCCCATGGGGGATCCTTCTGGTGCATCTGGAGACATGGGGGTTCAGCAAATGGTGCCAGATATGCAAGTACAGCAGCAACAAGGCATGTTGGGAGGCCCACAGCACATGCAAATAGGAAATGGACATTTTCCTGGTCATGGCATGAACTTTAACCCCCAGTTCACTGGTCAGATGCAGATGGGTGGACCTTGTGGACAGGCAGGTAACTTTGCTGGGAGCAAAGATGTCACATTGACCAGCCCGTTACTGGTCAACTTGTTGCAGAGTGATATATCAGCAAGTCAGTTTGGACCAGGGGGAAAGCAGGGAGCAGGCGGAGCAAATCAAGCTAAGCCTAAAAAGAAGAAACCACCTCGAAAGAAGAAGTCAAAAGAAGGTGAAGGTCAACAAGGAGATGGACTTGGGTAAGGTTTTGTGTGAGCTTTTTGACACAATGATATTTTCTCGGCAGTAAGTTGTATTTTCAACAAGTGATTTTAAGTTGACCACAGTTGTTTTTTGTTTTTAGTGGTATTGAGGCTGGCATGGAGGATTCGGAACTGGGTGAACAAAGCCTGGGCTTAGATAACCCAGTAACCAAAATCCCAGAATTTCCTAATAGACCCACAGGTAAAGAGTATATAGTTACAGTACACAGATTGAAAAATAGAAGTAAAAAGTAAACAATTCCTATCTGGAAATTGTACAGTAAGAGCTTCATTTTAAATGACCTTATATGAATTTAAATTCAAAAAAGCAGTTATTGTTCTCTACGAATGGGACGAGATCTCATTGCCATGAGATGATCTTGTGAGATTTTATTTGCCATCTTTACGTTTGGCATGGATATGAAAGGGTTACGCCTTGCTCAAATTGTGTATCTTTGCACAGCTGTAGCTAAAAGACTCTGCCACATAGCAATGGCTAACATATTCGGACAGAGAATCTTTAAACTCTTTCCCAGTTTGTATTTTGTAATGATAGGACCAATATTGATGCAGATGATCAGTGCTAAATATGGTTTTAAACTATTGCAAAATAATATGATCAACTACATGTGCATTGAGCAGCAGTCAGTGGTGTTTTTCACACTTAAACACACTTGGAAAAAGATTCATAAAGACATATTTAAGCCTTCTTCATCCATAACTTTGTTTAAAGTAAGAAGAGAGAGAAGAAGGAGAGAACTTCTTCTCTGTTTGTGTCCTCTGCATCATGCGTGTTAGAGCAGTGGCAGCAGAGGAGCGACACAGAACAGAGAAGCACATCCAGTTTTAGTCAGTTTTAATACATTTTGAAAATTCTGTCTCCTCTCATCCCTATTGTTTTTGTCTATTTTTAATGATTTGAGAAAGCATATATTCCTCAATATTTGAAGTATTTTATTCATCTCTCTTTAAAATTTGTATCAATTTGTTAATTCTGATATCTAGCTCTTTTTTTTTTTTTTAATCTCTGCCAAGTTTTAAGGCTGTCTTTATTTCAGAATTAGATTGTAAAAGACTTATCACTTAAGTCATTACTTTACATTTATAGGTTTTCCTGGACAATCAGGAGATCAAAGGGTGTTGCAGCAAGTGCCAATGCAGTTTATGCAGCAGCAACAGCAGCAGCAGCAGCAGCAGCAGCAACAACAACAACAACAACAACAACAACAACAACAACAATTACAGCACATGCAGCAGCAGCAGCAGCTCCAACATTTACAGCAGCAGCAAATGCATCAGATGCAGGGAATGAGTGGGCCACAATCTGGATTGATGGGAGCACAAACTGGAATGTTGCAACAACAAGGAATAACAGGGTCCCAATCTGGAATGCCACAACAGGGAATGGCTGGGCAACAGCAAGGAATGACAGGACCTCAATCTGGAATGCCACAACAGGGAATGCCTGGGCAACAACAAGGAATGACAGGACCTCAATCTGGAATGCCCGGGCAACAGCCCGGAATGCCCGGGCAACAGCCCGGAATGCCCGGGCAACAGCCCGGAATGCCCGGGCAACAGCCAGGAATGACAAATGCCCAGTCTGGACTGTCAGTGCCACAACCTGGAATGAGTGGGCAGCAACAAGGAATGCAAGGACCACAGCAAGTTATGCCCGGGCAACAACAAGGAATTGCAGGGCAGCAGCAGGGAATGGTTGGCCTTCACCAGGGACAACAAGCTTCAGTCCAAGGTCAACCACAGATGCACCCTCATCAGGTTCAACAGCAACAAGCTCAGCAACAGTCACATCTACAGCAACAGGTAAATGCTTTAAACATATACATGTGAAAATGTTTGTTTAATTGAATTTAAATTAATGTCTGTTTTGTAATTTAGCAGCAACAACAGATGATAATGATGATGAAGATGCAGCAGGAACAGGCGAAAAATCGTATGTCAATGCCTCCAGGAAGCCACTTGCCTCCTCGTGGCATGGCTAACTCACCAGAGGTACAGAGGCTTCCTGTCTCTCAGCAAGGTAACATGCCTGTGATGATAAGCCTTCAAGGCCCTGGGAGCGTACCACCCTCACCGGATAAAGCCAGAGGGATGCCTATGATGGTTAATCCACAAGTAAGTTTTATTGGGAATTTTTCAGATTCTGTTATGTGTGATATCATGCTTCCATATGGGGGCAAGACCCAGTATTTCCTCTTAATTACATTATATTTTGCCACAAAATACTGGAATTTACCAAATTTCTAATCATTTCTATTACTAGCTAGACCCAAGACCATGCTATATTACAACAAGAATCTGCAATTGAACAATATTCATTTTAGCTGCCTCCTATCTGTATTAAATAACATTGGCCTATAGAATGCTGTGATGAAATCTGAAACCCACCAATATGGATATTAGGGCTGGGTGAGTTTGCCTGATCATTTTTAACCCATTGGTGTAAAGAAATTTATGAATGAGACAAAACAAATTTTTGCATTAAACATTCAGCCCCAACATTTACTTTGACATCACTGATTTCAAAGCAGTCAGCGCTGCATGGCCCTGTGCTAAACTTTGGTTCCTGTGACTGCAGTGAGCAGCCTGTCCTGCAAATGAAAACAGGGGACAATAAAAATCGATTTGATAACAGATTTTTTTTTTTTTTTTGCCCAGCCCTAATGGATATTTTTTAAATAGAGCATTACTCTGTCTTTGTTTTGTTACATTTGCTGCCAAGTGCCACACACAATGTATATAATATAAACAAATCCAATGTATTTATTTATTCAAGTCAGTCAATAGTCAATCAATCAAACTTTATTTATAAAGGGCTTTTCATACAAAAAATGTATCACAAAGTGCTTTACAGTGATTAAAAACAATCCAGCATTTCCTTCCACCCACCCACCTACCCAACCCCCACAGCTGCCCGACTCCACACAACCAAACATCACACACACACACACAGAGGAGCCGTCTACACCAGGAGCAGAGGACCGTGACAGGGCCCAGGTCCACGATGAGTGAACATTTAATTTAATATAAATCTAATATTATTGTTTTTGTTTTTCTGTGATTTTGAAGCTTACAGGTGCTTCAAGAAGAATGTCCCACGCAGATGTAGGACAAGGACAATCTACACCAGCAGAAGAGCCCACAGCTGTGGCACAGCCAAAGCAAGACAGACCTGCTGGCACTGAAATGCCAGGGCAACCACCAAATGGAGCACAGCAGATGGCAAACCAAGGCTCAAATTCTCACATGATAAAGCAAGGCCAGTCACCCATGACACAACATCCTGGAGCCAGTCCACAGCAACCGCTGCCTAATCAGTCTCAGCAAGGAGCCACAATGGCTAGCCTTCATTTTCCAAATGTCCCCACAACGTCACAAAGTTCAAGGCCCAAAACACCCAACAGAGCCAGTCCCAGACCCTACCACCCCCTCACACCTACAAACCGCCCACCCAGTACTGAGCCCAATGAAATCAACCTTTCCCCCGAAAGGCTAAATGCTTCAATTGCAGGACTTTTCCCTCCAAAAATCAACATTCCCTTGCCTCCCAGGCAACCTAACTTGAACAGAGGGTTCGACCAACAAGGTCTTAATCCAACCACACTCAAAGCTATTGGACAGGCTCCTCCTAGTTTAGCACTCCCTGGAAATAACAGTAATGGGAGTGTAAGTGGAAATGTCCCTAACAGCAGTCATCAGTCCTTTCCCTCAGGTACTGGTGCAGGAGCAACTGGCACTAAACAGGAAAAGCAGTCTGGGACACAGGGCAAAAGAGCAAGTCCTAGCAACAGCCGAAGATCTAGTCCAGCATCAAGTCGCAAATCTGCCACTCCAAGCCCAGGGAGGCAAAAGGGCCCAAAGATTGTATGCTCTCCACATCAGCAGCAGCTTGTCAATCCACAGGGGCAAATGATGATGCTGAGCCCCTCCTCAATCCCTTTAAATACAGGTGCCATGCCCCCACAAGCTACTGGGGGGATGGAGCAGCAAACACAGTCACCTTTCAGTGTAATTCAGGGTAATAATGTAGAGGCAGGCAAAGATAGCCAGGGAGATCCACGGCCAGTACCACAGTCACATGCTATGAGGGAGCTAACCTCTCCCAGATTGGCAAGTCCACGCATCCCTACACCACAGCAGACAGACTCTCCGGGATCCAATAGGCATTCACAAGATCTTGATATATCTCCTGCGCTTAGGGAGGCTCCGACATCCCTCAACCAGTTATTGGACAATATTAATGTGCCCGTCCGACCTTTACAGATGGGGAAGTCTGAAGGAGAAAAAACACATAGTAATGCTCAAAACTTAGGGCAGTCTACTGTGCCCACTACAAGTGACTCAAAACCTGCTGTTACTGTTCTTACAAGTAGCCATAGTCAACATCAAGCTTCAGTTCCTGGCTCAGTTCCTAGCACTACCGTTAACCCTAGTTCCACCACCAGTTCAAACCCTCTTATGCCCTCTCTTTGTGTCAGCTCACAGGCCACTACTCAACACCTCAACACTACTAACACTACTGTAAATAGTCCCAGCCCACTAACCTCTGGTCATGCTTCTGCTATTTCTACAAGTTCTCATGTAACCCCAGCATCTTCAAAACCAATCCCTACTTCTAATAAACCTGTGCACTCACTCATACAGATCCCTGCTTCGTCTAGCACCATTTCACCAAGTCAGATTACTGTTTTTGTCAGTTCTAACACGATTACCTCAGCGCCCAACTCTCAGCCGCCCACTTCAATGGTTGCTCTTCCCAACAAGAACCTCAGGCCTCAAGACATCCGCCAACAGAGCCCCGCCACACGACCGCAATTTATTACGACGACGCCACTATTTATTAACCCTATCATTCAGGTTCCCGGTGCATCGGTAACATCTAATACTACTGTTGGGTCACAGCCACTTACAATGGTCCAAGTGTCTACTGCTAACATGCAACTGTCTCCCGCCCTCAGCTCACAGCCACGGCCTATTCATATTACAACCACTGTACCGTCTTCAATCCTTAATGTTACTTCACAAACAAATCAGCAAGTGAGCTCCGCCACTGCTAAACCAGACAATCTTAATGATACCATCCAAAAACCAAGTCCTCCATTGCAGCAGCCTTCTCCCCATCCTATTCCTCCTGTGTCATCTCCCTTTCAGCCACCCATGTCCTCTCCTCCCCCTTCTTTGAGTCCAGGAGCAATAACGGCTGTGCGGAAGAATTCTGTCTCACCATCAGCTCCTGCCCAAGTCATAACTGGAGATAGATCATCATATATTGTCACAACACAGGCATTAAACCCTCCTACCAGCTCACCCCTTCAAATGGAAACTCCTCCCTCAAGAACTACTCCTGGGCAAATTGCAGCACAGATTGTACCATCTCAAGACACTATGGCTAATGTGACAACCGCTGCCACCATGCTATCTACAGTCACTGCTGCACACAGCTCTTTACCATCTGTAGTTCCCATTGTGGCTGTGCCTGTGTCTGAGGATAGCCCTGGTGTTACCTCAGCTGCTAACACCACGTCCAACCAGGCTGCTCCACTGGCTGAGTCCCACACATCTTCAACTCTTGGTGACAGCAGCCAGACCAGCACAGGTAAGAAATCATACAGATCCCATACTTATGATTGCTTGGATGCTAGAAAAATTCATGTCAGCAACGTAAATTATTGGAGATTGCCCAAAGTTGTGTAGTCTCAGCACTGATTTTGTCTCCCCGATTTTGGATGGTGATTTACACGTGGATTAGCCAGTCAGGGGCATGCAGAGTACTGCCTATGAAATCAAATGTGCCTACTTACAATCACATGGCACCGTTCTAAATGATAGCTCCTGAGCTCTGACATTCCTCACGTATCACTAAATTAAACTGAGCAAACAGCCTGGATTTCAAGGAAATACTGATTTGGTTTGGCAAAAAATACACCCAATTACTAAACAAGACTAAAACTAGAAAATTACATACAGTTTTATTTCAAGTTTTTTTTAAATTGTCATTGTGGTCTCAATTGTATTGCATATCAACCCTTTTTCTTAGTATCTAAACCATGTATATGGTAAATATTAATATTGAGACAACCCTCATAGCTTTTGTGTTTGAACATTTTTATTTTATTTTATTTTTTCATTTTTCTCACAGCAACCTCACAGGACCTTACACAAACCAGAGAAACACCTGGTAGGTTCTTCTTGAATATTTACTATATATATTTACTAACATAAAGCCACATGCATTATAGTGTCAATATTTTCTGTATTCTACAGGGGAAGAAGTCTCCACTGGTCCAGAACAGGGGTAAGATTCTTGAAAGTGCAGTTCATAGTTTACTCTTCTGTCGTTGAATCACGGGACTCTGAAAAGTTGGCGTGATTTTTTTTCATCTTATTCTCATAAAATCATCTAGAGACTCCTAATTGTACTAAAACTCAGGTAGCTCATTTGGTTGAGAGGGTGCACGTAGTGAAATCCATGAGCCTGTGGTCTACTGCACTTGGTATGTATGATCAACATGCATCTATGTGAATACACTGATGCATGTCCAATGACTGAATCGCCTCCCACAACCCAAATCGCACCACTCCACTGATCTCCATGGGCACATCTATCATAATTTGGTGGGGAGTGATGTTACCTACGTAACTTTGTTCAACGCAAGTTCATAGTTTACCGCTGTTTTTCCACTTCTATCACAGATGGGCAAAGAAAAGAAAGACGCCCATCAACTTAGTTCCAAGGTATGTATTTAACTATGCTCACACCGCAAAGACACAAGTAGTGGACTTTAGTGGAAGACGTCAGGATGAAGACGGACATTATCTGTGGTAGATGAGGAAAAACAGCACAATCCTGAGTGTGGTATTACATTTTTGAGTAGAGCAGAAAAAAATGGTCATTGTATCATATTAACATTGGTATTGTTTTTCCCACATTTTTGTCCAATTCTTAGAGTGGCTGCAGTAGAGAAGCCAAAGGGGCCAAGTAGGCGGAGCTCCCGGGCAGAGAAGGAGACTGAAGAAGAGCCAGTTGTGGACAGTAGCAGTCGGAAAAGATCGGCAAGGCCAGCAACACACACTGCTGTAAAAGGTTGGACTAATACAAGTATGATTTTGAAATGTTTTTGTAACACTATACATAAGTTAATCAAATTTATTTAAAATATTACTTTGATTTTATTTTAAATTGGAGCACATTACATTTGATTCCAGATGGGAATAGTTGTGTTAGAGAAACTGATGTAACTAGAAATAATAGAATAATGGAATAATGGAATAATGGAAATAATGCATTTGTTTTTTCATATGGTAAAGCATTATCATTTCTTATATAGTACATTTGTTATAAATAATTTATTCATACATAACCAGAGAAATTCAAGTGTCAATGACTATTCAAATCTGAACTTTGTATTTCAAGTTGCTAGGAACACCTAACATTTTAAATCCTTGTGTTTTTACAGTCTTAACAATTATTTTCATTATATTACAGAAACTGGAGCAAGCCCGACCCAGGCCAAAAGAAGGAAGTCTAAATAGGCTGAAGTTTTAAACCCTGTGAACAGTACTGTACATTTTAGTGTTTCCGTTGTTAATCAGTTGCTAATGAATTCTGTGATAGACTTAATCTAAAGAGTATACATGTACAGTTTGTTTTAAAATAATCATGCCATTGTTTTGTCCCTGCTATCATGTCAGACTGTAGTTAGAATGTGTGCACATAGTGTTTGTATGAGTGAGCTTTTTATATGAAATGCTGGATTTGTCATTTTATGATTGATAATGTTATATGATTGTATAATTATGTTGTACAACTGAATTAAATTTTCTACTGCTTTTGTCCCGTGAATCGGGTCTATTATTTATTTCTTGTACACATTGTATCATGTCCTCAGTTACACTACAATGTATTTCATTCGGTAACTTGAAGGTGCATTGTGTGATTGAACACATGTAAAGTAGAGCTGTTTAATGTCATACTGTGGACCATTCCAGGTAGAGCAATGACATCTCCGTAACAAGCAGTTGACAGACCCCAACCAAAAAGTTACATAGTGCTCCTTTAATTAACCCTGTTGTGAAAAGGATTTTTATTTTTTACACTTTTTACACTTTAAATGAGGCATCAAAATGGACATGTCTGAAGTGAGAACCATTTTTCATTTGGTTGGAATGCCCAGAAGTTCCTCGTGTGTTCTTCTAGGTTGGCTGTTGTATAGTGTTTTAGTCCAGTGGATTGGGGCATGCGCAGTTGGTCCACACTGGGACTCCATTCCTGGCTGTCACCGTGTTCCTGGAGCCTCACATCCCTCTGTCTGCCTGTGACAACTTCAGCTGATTCCCCGCAAAAACTTCACCATGAGCGGCGACCACGAACACAGAGAGGCACAGGTACCACATGAGCTTTCTCAAGCCGCGGCTCTGAGTTTGTGCGAGTTTCAGGCTGAAGCTGGCATAAGTGCAGCTTCATATTAGAATAAAAAGACAATTAAACGCAGAAGCGCGTTCTTTTCCTTTTAGGGGTCACCTTAATTGTTTGCATATTTTATACTTTATCATTTAAAATCTAATGTCTTGTAATACGTTTGTGTGTCAATAGAAAGTTGACTTACCAAGCTACCCGGCCTTTTTAAATATCTAATATTAATATGCATTATTTTCTCAATTTCTAGGTCAATTGTGGATCTAAAGGAAATGGTAGGTCCTCTCCGTATTATTTTATTTGCAGTAAATGTGTTATGCTTGCTGAAAAGGGATGTGTCTACTGTTAGTTTTTAAAGGACAGCAATGGCGTCCCAGAGACTAAGTCCCTTCTCCTCCACTCTCTTGCGGCTATTGTTCAAAAAGACCCCCTCTTATTTGCATTTACACGTTTTGGTGGTTTAATCTGAAGGGTGATCCTAAAAGCCCTTGACATCGTGTTTATTTTGCATGTAAGAGCTTTATTATAAGTGGATGCACTCTTGGTGAATTTTGGAGAGGAAAGTGGCCGATTTGAGGCTGAGGACTTAGTCTCTACGCCATTTTCTTTTTCTGGATGAAGCAGCCAGGCGCCGGAGATGAGGCTGCTGTGAGCGGTGATATGGAGGCTGGAGCTGGGCGCTTATCGCCCTGCCTTCCCCTATCTTCACCGCAGAGCAGACAGTACCAGCTAAAACAAAAGTATTCACCCTTCATATCAAACATCATAGTGCACATTTTAGAGAGACTGAATAGCCAAATCAAACACCAAAGCTTTTTACTTTTAGAATAATTAGTTTAAGACTCATTCAACATAGATAATCACTATTATGACATAAAATATGCAACAACAAAGTTATAGCCTAAGTAGGCCTTTTTTTTTCTTTTTTTTTTTTAACATGCACTGTATTTTCTATAGGCTAAAGCTATTCTTATTGAAATGCCAGGACAGCACACACAACTATGAGGAGATGATTTGCAGCATTCTCTAGAGAGCAATTACTTCATGGGTGGATTTTAATATTATTATTTAGACCTATATAAAGCCTAATAAAAACATGACGCTTGATATCCTCAGTGTACATCCTAATACATTTAACTTATTTAAACAACACTTTACAACTGCACATATAAAGGGAAATAGTTTTAAGTTCTTTAACTACTTCTGGGTGTGTCACAAGTTGTTTTGTGTTGTTTCATAGATGACCATAACAGTCGCGTGAAAGAGTACAGTTCTGTATGAAGTGCAATTTGACCTTTTGTATTGTAGACTCTCACAAACATAAAGAGAAGCACAGAGACAAGGAACACCGACACAAAGACCACAAGAAAGACAAAGAACGGGAGCGCTCCAAACACAGCAACAGGTGAGATACTTGGCAATAAAACATACTATAGTAAAGTTGTTATAATGCAAAACTTTGGGCTCACTCTTTTATACTCTTTTTGCCCTTTTCATTGCATCAATAATAGGCTTATTCTTTATTTGTTCAGTCAAAGATATTTCGTAATACATTACCAGTCCATTAGAATAACAGATGTAATAAAATCAAAATAGCAATAATGAAAATACTAATTATGTATGGTTGTTTTATTTTGTAAATGTTTTAAGACCATATAAATTAGAGTGTCTTGATGCATCTATAGCTGCTCTGTTTCCCAACTCAATTATTATCATAGATTATTTGCCTTCATATATTAGTGGTGGTAACTGAATTACACATGTCAAATTTGTTTCTAAATAAAATATATATTTTTTAATTGATGTTTTGCCAAATATTGGTAACAACATAAACACATGTAAAGGAATCAACTGGTGTCTAAAAATTATGTTATGTGCAATGTGAAAAGGTCCATGCAAAAAGTATATAAATATTGGGAGACTATAGACTGCTTAAATAAGACCAAAATTTAACTTGGGGGTCAAACTGAACAAAAAGCTGGGTGACTGGAATGTGGTGTGGTACTGTCCATATACACAACACCAAGGAAATTGTTATTGTAATTCTCGGTAAACAAATTCAAGCTGCTTGAATGGCCTTGACACTCATTTTACCAGTATCCAATGCAACCTGGATAAAGAAGGGAGCCATGAAATACCTAAACTTTGAGATTTTCAGTTTGAGAATGCCTTTATGCCACTGCAAGATAAAGCCAGTTCACCTTTGCTAAGAAAAAGCCACATTACTAACAATAACACTAATGTTTCTTTTTTTACCCTAAACGTTTAAACCTCTTTGTGAAGCAGTGAACATAAAGAGCACTCTGAGAAAAAACACAAAGATAAACTGAAGCACAGTGATGGCTCCGAAAAACAGAAGGAGAAAGAGAAGAGGAGAGAGGACAAGGTTGGTCCTACATCATGCATTTTACACTAATTACTTATCATCGCAATAGTCTAGATTCAGCTAGTCTGTGTCTCTGTCGACACCCTCTGATAAAATAAAGATCAGAGTAAGAACAACACATGGGCTAAACCAGGTGTGTTAAAAAACTAATGTGGGTTAAAGCCCTGTCACTATAACACATTTTGAAGTGGTATATAATGCTACAGAAAATATCTTAATATCTTTCTTGTTCCATTACAAAAACAAAAACAAACCCCAAAACAAATTACAAAAATTTAATTACTGAGCCCCCCATAGGTCATTCATTTAATTTAAAACAATTTTTAGGCAAATCCATAGATATAACATGATTGCAGGTATAAAATCAAATATCACATCTGTTTGTTTTTGTTTTTTTTATTCACAGGTGAAATCCTCCCATATAGACAAGCCTAAGAAAGAAAAAGAGAATGGATATGTCCGGTACATTATTTATTTCCTCCAACTATTAATGTTAATTACTGTAACATTTATTTATTTGCAAAAACATAAACTTTTCAATCAATGCCGTATTTAGAGATTCAAGTCCTGTTATTAAGAGCGAGCCTGAGGAAGACAATGGCTTTTACACAGTTTCAAAGCACAAGCCATCCAAACGAGAGTATGATGATGAAGAGTAAGTATCGTTTCAATTCACTTATGTCATATGTTTTGGAAATGTAATTTATTGTATATTACTTTCATTGTTTGTAGGTTTGACTATAAACCCAAAAAGGTAAAAACAGAACATGAGAAAAAGGCCAAGAAGAGAAAACACGAATATGAAGATGATGAGGATGAAGAGGTTATTATTTTATTTAATGTTTGTCATGTTTCAAATAAGCTATGAGTGATCTATGTTGAAATGTTGTATAATCTGTATCTTTAATCTTTAGGACATAAAACCCAAGAAGACAAAAGATAAAAGTGGAAAAGATGGGAAGAAAAACAAAAAAGATGAGGAAGAGAAATGGAAATGGTGAGATAAAATACAAAAATACATTGTGATTACAGATGCTCTAATCAGTTACAAAATACATATCTTTTAAACTTTGTACTGAATTATTTCACTTGTCTAATCTTCAGTTATGTTTAAACATAAATCACAATAATAAATAATACATTTTTTGTCTCTTGACTGAAATATCATGTTTTTTTTTTCGTTGTTGACTTGTCAGGTGGGAGGAGGAAAGATACACAGATGGATCTAAGTGGCGCTTCCTTGAGCACAAGGGCCCAGTGTTTGCGCCTCCCTATGAGCCTATGCCCGATAAAGTCAAGTTTTACTACGATGGTACTGTATTGGTGTCCCTTTAATTGATCTGCATTTGTTCTTTAAACTGACAGTTAATATTTTGTCTTTCAGGAAAACCAATGAAGCTTAGCGCCCCAGCTGAGGAAGTAGCCACTTTCTTTGCCAAAATGTTGGAGCATGAATATACCACTAAGGACATCTTTAGAAAGAACTTTTTCAAAGACTGGAGAAAAGTAAGAATGTCACAGCTTCCTTTAAAATGATAAATAATGTTGTGATCCTGAAATTCATGTAACTTCATTGTTTTTTTTTCTATTTAAAGGAAATGACTCCAGAGGAAAAGTCAAAAATTACTGACCTAAACAAATGTGACTTCAGTGAGATGAGTGCATACTTCAAAGCTCAATCTGAGGCAAGAAAACAGATGACGAAAGAGGAAAAGCAGGTATTTCAGACAGATCATATTCTAGTGTTAGTGTAATATGTGAATTATGGCTTGTTTATGGCTTATAATTTTTCAATCAATATTTTGCAGAAAATCAAAGAGGAGAATGAGCGGATCCTTCAGGAATATGGATTTTGCATCATGGACAAACACAAGGAGCGGATTGGGAACTTTCGGATCGAGCCTCCTGGACTTTTTAGGGGACGAGGGGACCACCCAAAGATGGGAATGTTGAAACGACGGATCAGACCTCAAGACATCATCATCAACTGCAGCAAGTGAGCACACTGGTTATTAATATTGAAAAGGGATACACAAATGGGGTCCTGTGAAGAGATATGAATCACACTCTAATTTTTCAGGATAGGATAGCTTATAGGGAAACTAAGCCATTACACTATTACCAAGGCACTATCAGATGCTTTGTATTAACTGAAAATGAGTCATTATTACATTATGATAAGCATAAATACTAACAAGTATGTAACACATTTTTTAATACACATTCTTTAATGCTTTCAATTTTAGGGACTCCAAGATACCCAAACCTCCTCCCGGAACAAAGTGGAAGGAAGTACGTTATGACAACAAGGTGACCTGGCTGGCCTCCTGGACAGAAAACATTCAGGGCTCCATCAAATACATTATGTTGAACCCGAGCTCAAGGATTAAGGTAAAGTAACCTAAAGTAACATAACAATATGACCACAGACTTGCCCAATAAAGGAAATCAAACAGCCTGGCACATATATATATATATATATATATATAATGATTTGTAAGAACATATATACAACTTATAATATTGTGTGTTTAGGGTGAGAAAGACTGGCAAAAATATGAAACGGCACGGCGACTGAAGAAGTGTGTGGATCGTATCCGGAGTCAGTACAGAGATGACTGGAAGTCAAAGGAAATGAGGATTAGGCAGAGGGCAGTGGCGCTGTACTTCATAGACAAAGTAAGGAGGCCTCTAATGTTTGTGATCGCCTTTATTTAACATCTGTATTATTCTAATAACATTTATAACTCAATAATTTGATAACTTTTCAGTTAGCACTAAGAGCTGGAAATGAAAAGGAGGAAGGAGAGACGGCAGACACAGTCGGCTGCTGTTCACTGAGGGTGGAACATATCAAACTTTATCCCAAACTGGATGAGCAGGAGTATGTGGTAGAGTTTGATTTCCTGGGAAAAGATTCAATTCGCTACTACAACAAGATCCCAGTAGAGAAAAGGGTAAGAGATTGTAGAGGAGGCACTTTTTTTGGAGTCTAAAATAATTTTTGAAATAATTCTATAGGGATACTATGTAACTATCTGGAGATTTCGGCATGATTCCATAAAAATAGAAAGTTAAATCTGTACTTCAGAACATTCATCCATAGGCATAAATAAGGTTTATGCCATACTTGGAAGATAATAGCCAGAGGGACAACATTTCAATGGAAATAAGCAGGATGAGTCCCTCATCCAGTCCAAATTAGAGTGAGAGAATGTTTTTAGGGCGTATATTTGCCTATAGTTTGGCTAAAAAGTTACAAAATGTGGATTCAAAGTGCATCTACACATTATTTACAGTCATCAAATCAAAACTATGATGAGACTGTGACTAAACCTGTGTGAAGTGTGAACACACCCTTAGAAACTTTATTTGCTACTACATATACTCCTGGGTTTTTACTCTTATGTTAAAGCACCATCTCCTGGTGAAATATATAATTGTATTTTAAAAATCAACTGTATATAAATTACTTGCATCTTTTTCAGGTCTTTAAAAACCTGCAGTTGTTTCTTGAAAACAAGCAGCCAGAAGATGACCTATTTGACCGATTAAATGTAAGTTAAAAATTTAAATTTGCGTAAGTTTGATCAATGTTTAGTTCATAAATCTTTGTTAACTTGTAACCTATGCACATAACTTATGCATACTGTATTAGTGTGTCTTCTTAAACTTGTGTTTTCTTTAGACTTCAATTTTAAACAAGCACTTACAGGAGCTAATGGATGGACTCACAGCTAAAGTGTTTCGAACCTACAACGCTTCCATCACTCTGCAGCAGCAGCTCAAAGAGCTCACATGTGGTGAGTCACTGCAGCTCCAGTAACCAGAATGTGAGGTGCAATCAAACCTAAGCATTGTTGAAATGTATATAAATATCATAAAATCAGTTAGCTTTAACTTGTGCATACATTTCTAGTTGTGTTTCTCCCCAAGCAATAATCACTCACCATTAATTGAAATTTTTGAAGTTTTTGTTCTCTTAACAAATCCCTGTGCTGTCTCCAGCTGATGACAGCGTCCCGGCTAAGATCCTGTCATACAACAGAGCCAACCGGGCGGTGGCCATTCTCTGTAACCACCAGAGAGCTCCACCCAAAACCTTTGAAAAGTCCATGCAAAACCTCCAGACCAAAGTGAGTGCTATATGTTTACCATTCCTTTCAGTAAATTGGATGTGTAGTTTATTTGGACTTTTTGTCATAGTGAGACATGAAAGTTTAAAAGATAGAATTTTTGTTAAATTTGAGAGAATTAGTTTGTGCCAAAAAGATGAAAGGCTTTTTGGCAAGGTGACCATAGATACATTGGTTAATTAATAATTTTAATATTTATGTGTATATATATATTTTTTTCCTTATTAAATACCAAAACACACACATATGTATATATAATTGTTTTCTCAACAGATTGATGACAAACAAAATCAGCTGTCCACAGCACGGAAACAGTTAAAAGCTGCTAAAGCTGACCACAAGGCTTCCCATGATGAAAAGAGCAAAAAGTAAGACACTGGGCACAAAATTCAGAATGTTAAAATCATCATCAAGTTTTTATATTACGATTTTACATTATTGTAACTGTTAGAACTGTGGAGATGAAGCGAAAAGCAGTCCAGAGAATAGAGGAGCAGCTGATGAAGCTCCAGATGCAGGCGACAGACAGAGAGGAGAACAAACAGATCGCTTTGGGCACGTCCAAACTCAACTACCTGGACCCACGCATCTCTGTCGCCTGGTAAGGATTGAGGGTCATAATGTCAAACAACCAGAAATGGCACAAATACCCCAAACCTGTCCCGTGAGCTGCTGTCAGTATTCTCTATCCAAATATCATTTTGCTATAAAATAACAATTAGTTTATTAATTCAATGCTGAAACTATTGATTGTAATCTTAACTGAAGTATGACACACTTCATTTACAGCCATTATTTATGACATTAATAACATTATATGTTGCATTATTACCACTTGAGCATCACTTGGTTTGTATTATCACAATAATCTTGTACTTGTTCTACTGTTATCATGAATATTTATATGTGCTACACATGTACCTGTATTTTCCACCACTGAAATAACTCCTTTATTTTTACCAGTCTGTTTGTGTGGGGGAAGTGTGTATATCTACCTTAATGAAAAAAAGGCAGGAAGTTGTGTTGCACTGTAGGACAAGGGACAACGGCTTTAGATGGAAAATCAGAGGAAGAAAAGTGTGTGAGAGCAGGGAACAATGGGGTTTGTTTTTGAGCTTCTTTCCTTCATGTGGGACGTCCAAGAGGGGAATTGTGCTGGACCTTGGAGTAGGGGATAGGGTCTGCTTTATATGAACCAGTTATTTATGTAGAAAATAGTCAAGCACAACATTTATGAAACTGTGTTATAACGTTATACAGCTACAGTATTCTTACTGTTATTAATAGTCTCATGTAATGTAATTGTGCTCAATTTAACCCCTTGGTTAGAAGCAATAATTGAACAGCATAAATTAACAAATAAACATTAACAGCCTCTATAACTGTGCTGTCTCTCTAGGTGCAAAAAGTATGGCATCCCGATTGAGAAGATCTACAACAAAACTCAGAGGGAGAAGTTTGCCTGGGCGATTGACATGGCAGAGAAGGATTACGAGTTTTAAAACACACACGTGTTTCTTTCGTCATACCTTTGATTGTAAAGATGGTTTCCTGTTGATGTCAAATGAATCCACTTTGTGGCTAAAGCAGGACTGTAAAGAACAAAAAGCAAATACAGGCGCATGTCCATAGAGGCAATTATTTAAGAGGTTTTATAGTTACTTTAAAAAGGTGAAATGCATATAATCTGATTTGAAAACAAAATCTAAATTATAAAATACATTTCTTTTTTTTTTTTTTTATTATGTTTTTGTAGTAATATGTATATGCACTTAAAACTTTACTTAAAATAACATAATATATTTACCATCCATATTATTTATTTACATGATTATTGTTATTCAATGATTTAAATAACAGGATCACATTATAAGATTCATAGAATACTTAATTTGACTTTTATCACTAACTGTAAGCCATAACCATCACTATATAATCATGCATATTGATTTGTATTAAACTGCTGATGTGGCTATTGCACAATAGACATGCGCCTTGACGAACAGAGACGATTTATTACAATGTGTATGTATGAATTTACTCAAGAATCAACAATCATGTGATCAAACTACAACTCTTGGAATACTAGAATTATCAAAATAGTATGTATGTAGCCGATGTCCGCCCCAAAAATGGACACTTTTGTTTTATTTGAGATGACTTAGATTAGTAAGCCATCAGATTTATGGACAAAATTCTATATTCTCATAGGATTATTAACTAGTAAATGTGTGAGGACCTGTGAGAGCCATGTGATAGGAAGGAAAGTGTACATGAATATTTATTGAAGTTTTTGTATGTTGAGACAAAATGCGCCTGAGAGACAAAGGACTGGGTGTATCTCCAATGTAAGCACTTGTTAATATTAATATTGCCATAGTTTCATTACTTTACAGTTTTGCATTTTATTTCAGGGATGTATATATTTTTTTTCATTAAGCTGTATACATTGTGAGCTAAAGCCTCTCCTCACTGCACGTACACCTATCAGGTATAACATTATGACCACAAGCCTCTAGTGTTGGAAAGTAACTGAATACATATACCGAAATTATGTATTCTGAATACAAATTTTGGCACAGTTACTTTTTCATTTAGTGGTATTCAGAAAACAGTTACTGTTGTAAAATCAAAGGAATACATTACAGTATTTCATCATTTGCACATAATCTGTGAGAAAAATAGACAACTCTGTTCTTTTGGTGAATGCATGTTTGATTTTTCCATCTGCACTTAGTGAGAGAAAATGCTTTAAAATCAGTGAAACAAACATACAGCTGTTTTTAATTCTATATTGTGTCTTTACACTACAATTAAATGTGATTCAATGTAAAAATGTTCAAAACACCGTACTCTGATTGGTCCATCTATCAGAATACGTTACAAAATACATTTTAATGCAGGCATTCAGTATTCTGTAACTAAATACATTTTCACAATATTCTTCCCAACACTGCCAGTCTCTAATAGGTGAAGACCGCTGTAAACCCAGAACACCCAATAAGACCTGCAATTTTGGAAAAGCTCTAATTCAGTCATTGGCCTCCATCTGCTTGTCCATTTTTTCCTGTTTCTAATGCAGCAACTGTGAGCCTAAACTTCATTTGGACGGCTCCTGTCACTGGTCAGCATGTTAAGCCTGATGGTTGTGTGCACTACATAGACATTCCTTGTGCTTACTTGAATCAGCTATGTTTATGTTGCTGAGCTTCAGACTGACTTTTGTAATGGATGTGGTCTATGCCAAAAATAACTGAAATACACACATTTAATTGTGCTACTCTTTTGTATTTATATGATTAAGCAGAAGTGTCCTAATTTCCAGATGTGAGTATGGTCGAAACGTCGTTATTCTTGCTGTTTGATTAATTTAAATATTTATCACTCATCTTCTGAATGGTTGGATGCTTATTGTAGCTTTGTAGTTTTAAAAAATAATATTAAACTTGTTACAAAACAATTTACTTTTTTTTTCTTTATGTGCTACAATTTCAAGATTGAATTGTATATTTGTAATTAAACAAAAGAACAAAAGCATCAGAGATTCACTTACAAACAAACTACTTTAACTCCAAAAAAAAAAAAAAAAGGTCAGATTCAGGTAAGGAAGTTGTGGGAAGTATTTTGATATTTTTCAAAATAAAATACTGCACGTTACAATGATAGACATAAGATAAGAACTTAATTCTTAACAAGATATACCATTTTATTGAAACATAACTGGTTTGGTTCAACAATGTGTACACACAAACAATTTTTTTATAGATAAGGCTCCACACAACAATAAAAAAAACAAGGTGGAGTTCGCTTATATTATGAAACTCTGGCGGAAGTGGTGCGCAATAGCGCACCTTGACAGTGTGGCTGGTGCGCACGGTGCGCACTGGGGGAAGGGCCTGCCTCTGACTGTGAGGCCGACACGGGAGCACAGAAACTTGCGTAGTCTTACCACGGCACTCGCTGTCTCCCCGTTTCTCTCTATGGACAGCCGGAGGGCAGGAGAAGAAACGGGGAATATTGTGGTTGGGATTGCTGCGTTCATCCCAAAACAGGCCATGATTTAATCTCGGGACATTCCTGGTTTTGGAAGAAGTGGAGACGGGAAAAACGATCGAAGGGAATACGCCAGAGCGGAGCAGGACTTGTGCCGAGGGAGGGAGATGTGCGCTCGGGCCGAGATTGCGGCGGTACGTACAGCAGTTCAGACGTGTTGTTCTACAGCTGTTTTGCGTTATTGTCCCCATGCTATAAATCTGAGATGCGGAGATAACGATTAACACATTAAAGACAGTTTCTGTGCACTAATATTGTGGGAAATCCTGCATTATTTATCCTCTGGCCCAGGCAAATGTTAGCTCACCGGCCCCGTTCTTTTCCACGCTGTGAAAATAGCATGAACAGACGGTTCTTGTTACCACTCCGTTACCATTCAATACCAGTTGTTCTTCCCATAATAATGTGGGGTCTGTTCCAGGGAAAGTGTGTTATTTTCAGTGGGTAATTGCCTGTGTGGCCTGTTTAGGTTTTGGGGTGAAAGTTCTCCCAGAGACTCCCAGATGTTGAATTGTAATGTTCTACTGTAGTTATTGGTTTGCAATGGGCCTCTTACCTTTACCCTAAACACAAGAATGTACTTTTAAGAAACCTTTACCTTTTCCCTCATACCATGAGTATTATTTCGTTTGCATCAACGCAGGCTACATGAGCACTATATTTTGCTATGTTTTGTTTATAATGTGCTAGTCCACCTTTTTCTTTGACGTGCAACCTTAATTAGTTTTCTAGACCTTTGCCATATCCCATTTGCCTTGATTTACATAAGCCCCTTACCCTCTCCTTGTAGACATTGCTCAAGTATTAAACATGGGCTTTTCTTTGGACTGGGCAAAAGGTGAACTTGTGTATTACTGTGGCTACTGGCTAGTCTTAATGTCTTAATTCTAAATACTCTGCTTTACTTTTGTTCCATACACTTGTAGTCTCAGAGTTTCACGGGTTTCCCCTCTGTTCCTGCTCTAGGTATCCCTGTCTAGGCCTGGCCCAAGCAGATTGTTCTAAAGAGGAAGCGCTTAACAAACGGGGGAAGTGAACATGGCTGGGAGCTCAGGCTTCTTTTCCAATGGGCCTGTCCCGTGGATGGACAACGACACAGAGATGAACAACCTGTACCGAGACTTGGAGCTGGGCACCGTGCTCACCCTTTTCTACTCTAAAAAGTCCCAGCGTCCAGAGAGGAGGACTTTTCAAGTCAAACTCGAAACCAGGACTATTATCTGGACCAGGGGCACGGATAAAATAGAAGGAGAGAGTAAGTAAAGATGTCCAACACACGCACAGGGGTTGAAAAAAGGGTTTTATTTACTTTTGTCAAACTGCATTGTCAATCAAAATATGTTTATTGGGAATGCCAGTTAAAAAATTTGGTAGATCACGTTATGTTCAGCTTTTGATCTACTGTAAATAAGCAATAGTTCAATATTTATTGCAGTGTTTATATTTAGAGATTAACATTTGATCATTTCCTAATATTGGTTTGAAGATGAAACATATCATCTTGGATAAAAGGCAAACATGCATATGACTGCAGAAAGCTGCATGAGGCTGCAGTGGTCAAGGGCTGCAACAATACCATTTTGTCATATTTTGTTACGTATTTCATATTGTTCATACAGTTTCAATACAGTTTAGAACACAAACAAATGTTTCCTCTAGTTTTATACTAATTATCATGAAACATAAAGTTTGATTCAATTCCAGTATGTCTTCACTTTTCCGATATAGCAGAGGTGCCCCTTTTATAGAATCGTTTTCTTCCTGTGTTTGTGAAAGTATGGCATACTTTGTGCCAAGTGACTCTGGCGTAGTGGCGCTGGAGTAGTACCATGAGTGTACTGAGCCACATGTGTGTATTGTGTTGTGAAGGTCATATTGAACGATTCGATATTAATATTAATATTAATACTGATAATTACCGTGTTTGGTTCAGGGCAACTTCAGTAACCATAGTGCAGTACCATCATACTGAAATTACTTTTGGAAGTCAAAAGGTTTTAATTTTAATTTAATTGATTAACATTAAATTTTTTTTTTTTAAATTGTGACAGCGCATGTTAATGGACAGAGATGATAAAACATAAATGTAAACACACCAGATTACAGCCAAATTAAGTGATTAAATATTCTTGTTAAGTAGTAATAGTATAACACTGATCTTGTATTAAGTTAAAACAATGATTTATTTATGTAGCTTTACTTTTAGTTAATAATTTACTTAATATTTGTTCTAGTAATTAGCCTGCTTTTTAAGATGTAATAATTAATGAATTTCAGTAGTTCAGCAGCAGAAATTCAAAAGGTCTATGAATAGACATTTAAAGACATTTTATAATTGGATCACATCCACTGTACCACCCTAAATGAGGCAGATTGCTGTGTGTGCCTCTTGTGCAACAGGATGCCTTATGCACAGCTGCGATTTGCTCCGGATGCTGCTGCAGAAAGATTGGCTGGTTTTCTTTTTTTCTTTAGTGGAAGAAGAAGAGTATCATTTTCTATACACTGAAGCTTTCGTACATCATGAGCTCATCTCTGCCACCTGATACTTGAGTCAAATTCATTAAGCTTCAGAAATAGAAGACGGGAGTTTTTACTGGAAGTGTCAGGCCGTCTGCGAACAATTTGGCAGCTGTTTTTAACACGAAACATCCAAATAGAGGCTAAATATAAATCTCCTTTGGTCCTTGGTCAAATGTATGTTTATTTCTCTTGTGGGATTTGAACACATAAGTTATTCTGCCGGACAGTCTGCATTCAAATATTCCTGGGGTCAAAAGCGACATTATATTTTTTAGGGGGTGGCAAGCATTTATGTCTTTTAGATTCACAAATTAGTATGTACAATCTCATATTATATTCTATCTTAATTATTTGGTAATTTGTTATATACTTTGGTAGAAGTGTTAGACCAGTGTCCATTTGCCATAAGGTTACAACCTCTATCATTGCATACTGCACCTTATTTCCTCAAGCAAGACACCTCATCTCAGCTAGCTCTGAAATCAAGGAAACAATTAGAAATACTGCTTTATAACATTGTAATGGAATTTATGTTAAGAATTTTTTAGATTGATTTGTTGATTTATTAGAGACAAATCATTATTATTATTATTATCATTAGTTCCCCCTATCATATGCTGCAGAACATATACTGCTTTGTTTGCCTGCGGCCCAGAATACACACTCCTTCAATACTTCACAAAGATGCGAGTCTGGTCACCTATGAATTTCCTCGTTTTCAAATGGCCGTGATTCACAGGTGGACGAGCCATTCGGGGACACGCATGGTCCATTCATATTGGAAAAAATAAAGGAAAAAAATATCATGGGGGAGTGAAAAACATTTCTGCAGAATCACTAAACTAATCTGAGGTGAGATTAAATTGATTTTATTTGTAAACGCTAGGTGACCAATGAGCTCCTTTGTTTCCCATGTGTCCCT